TCGTCAATATCAACCAACTGCCCAAACTTGAGCTGCTGAATATCTTCCAACCTCCGTTCCAGCTCCTTCTTTGCCTCGTTAATCTATACCATCTATAGTCACCAACACCCCCTAAGAAGGAGTACTACTACCTTCTTATTCTCCCTCATCCTAGCACCATACATCATCTTTAAATTACGATATTGCCTCCTGATCTCGGCCTTCTCTCGATGTAGATCAACAATACGTTGCCTTAACCTCTCCAGTGCTGTGTTAGTGAACACTACCTACAACATAGCTCCTCCTCCTCCTCTTCCTCCTTACTACACCACTCCCCTCCTACCTGACCCTCCTCATCAAGGCTCTCTGGTAGGCGGATTGTCTGACCAGACAGTAGGGCATACTGACCGAGGCCTGGTGACTCCACATTATCCTCATCAACCACGGATATGCACCTAAAACTATACTATTACTCGGCAAGGGGTCGGACCGCCGCCGCCCTCACTTAATCTGTGATAGTTTCAGCGACAGTATTCTATGTAGTTGGTTTAGCTTCTGTTGCTTATTGGCTTGGAAGTGTTGTATTTTCCTATACTCATTACAACAATGACCCTACTACTACTATGATCATCATGAGCATTGCTGCTTACTCCTCAGCCAATGTCTGATCCTTATTCAATGTTTTCTCCTTCTGTAATAGCCTGGTGTGGATCTTCTTAGACTCCTCTACAATCTTCTGTATTTCCCCCAATGCCTCTTCCATATCAAGCCTTCTATTCCGCAATTCAAGAACCTGTCCCTATGTAGCCTTCTCCCCAAGGATGTCCCCTTACCCCATCATAGACAGCCGAGTCACAGCCTGATGGGCACACATCAGCCTCCTCATTATCGTCTTCATCATCATCACTATCACTGAGGAATACATTGTTAAGAGCTAGTTATAGAACCACTTCACCTATCAGCAGCAGAGTTGATGTCAGAATCTAGACTACTATCATCATCGTGTTCACCATCCCTCTTCGACCTCCCTAAAGCAGTATTCCATGCATCCCTCCCCCCTACCCCTACTTTCCTTACTCTTTATCTTACGACGATATATCTTGATAAGAGCATTGGAGAATTGATGAGCATCATTCTCATCTAGGAGCTTATCAAACTCAGCTTTCAGTTTAAGCTCCTCTCTCTAAACATCATCAATAACAACAGCATTGAGGAGTAACATTATAACACTCACTTGCCAGGCTTCGACTCTGGCCCTCTTATCAGCAAGGGTCTTCTGACACTCATCAATTGACATCATCACTACCGACATCTCCTGCATAATCTTATCCAATTTAGCATACAATGCTGCATCAGCCTCTCCGAGCTCACTGAGTAGGGCTAATTCTTTGAACCTAATGAAGAGGATAGACCAGTAAAGCTGCTGCTGTTGCAGCTGGTGCTGGTGGTGATGGGAGGATATACTACTACAAGGTAATCAAAGTAATCTGTGCCATCTTCAGATCTGTATCCAACTTAGCCTTCTCACTACTCAAAGCAGTTACTCGTTTGTTAAAGGACTCGACAGCCTCTCTAACTCTCGTAAGGATACCT